ATGTCAATCAGACAGATGGAGGCGATATGGGGACAACATTTACGGTTTCCTCCAGGATGCAAAATGCGCAAAATCTTCTTGTGCTGCCTTAACATAGTGTTTGTGTCAGAGTCTGAATGCTCTGGTCTGTTGCAGTCAGACATGGCTTGCATTCTGGGCTGTGCCATGTTGAAACAAACCCAACATTTCTTTGGGCATGCATGACAGTTCAGTCAAGCTGGTGTAACAATGTCTCTGTATCACTACATCACTGGGCCATGTTGCAGTGAACTGGTGATGGTAGGGGTCAATCCAAAGCATGACTGTATCACCTGACACATCTACATCAGATCCTGCACTGCAATCATCCTGACAGGCCATGAATCATTCAAGTGCCCTCCTGGTACATTGTGTTCAAGTGAGTGAGTGATGATAGTGTTTTAGTCACATCACAGCACAAACCTCAAAGAACATCTTTTCAACACACCGTTTTATGCCCACAGTTTACAACCTGTAGAATTCCTGGGGCCTCATTGGGTGTCAAAGTTCACTGATAAAAGTGATAACGGGCACAGCCCTGCCACCTCTTGTAACTGTCCCCAGCATCACCAGCTCACTGCAACCCTCGAATAATTTCCCCAACCCACAAGTCAGACTTTTCCAACAGACAGTTTTATCAAAGGTGCTGAAGGGTCAGAAAACATGACAAAAACTCACACAACAGAAGGTCAAAGGGAGATAACTTGCACAACACATTCCAGTGACCTGTACACCTGACAACCACTCCCACCATCAGAACTATCACCGTGACATGGTGTTCATCAGTCAGTACAAGCCCGCCCTTGTTACCTATGATCTTCAAGCAAATCATCTTGGTGTTGATCCCATGGCAGCTTGCAAGCTCCACCCATTCAACAAGTGTTCTACGCGTTCCACCATCCGACACCCATGTGCACACCAGACCGTCAGACCAGAACTGTTGCTCCTGTCTCTCATCTCAACAAAAACTCCTCACCAGATACAAACAAAACTTTTTGTCCATATTCCTAAAATAACTGGCATAGAAGCACAAAATATGCAGACTTCTGCATGGTATTTACTCTGGTTTTGATAACCAAGTCTTCATAAACTCATTACCAATGATAAATGACAGTCCTACCATAACGCTTGAACAGCCATTGAATATGGATCCATCGAAGAAGATTTAATGTGGAAGAGATTGCACACTACCTTCTTATCAGCAAAGCTAAATAATGAAGTATGAGTGACAGGGCTTATATCCACATAGAACTTGTTTACAATTCTGCAGATGGCTGTGCGTGTAAAACTGTGACCATTGTTTATGGCCTGTTTACCCTTTCCTGATAACAGAACTTTTCAAAACAAACCACGGAGACAGAATCTGTATCAACAAACAAAACCGTATACATTTGTATCTTGATAGCATAGATCATCTTCAAAAGACCTTGCCAGTGTGATTTTCAAGGTTCAAGGCACTGGTACATTTTTCACAGGCGTACAAGATGTTCCCGAAATGATTTTTTACATTCTTTTGGTTAATTTTGTCTTATAGTACATGACATAACCATGATCAAGAAACAAACCTACAGAAAGATTTCCTCTCAGCCAAAACAACTGAAGAAATCTAGACTTGACAGAGTATTTTGGAATTTGGGGATTTCAGATATTTTTGTTACGGAATCTGTATGAGAGACTGTGGGTTCCTTCACTCAATTTGTTATGACATGTTGCTTTGAATTTAGATACATGATTGTCCATTTAGAATTAGATCTAAAATCTATTTGCAACAAAGATACCAAGCTGGGTTGGATATCAATGTTGTCATAAGTGAAGAGGAAAAGTAACTAAAATGGCCATTTGACATTATAATTTGATTTTGGTTGGTTGGTTGTTTTTTGCCCCACTCAGCAATATTCCAGCTATATAACGGGCGCCTGTTTATAATCGAGTCTTGACCAGACAATCCAGTGATTGATATCATACGCATCGATCCATGCAATTGGGATCGATGACATGCATCAGCCATGTCAGCGAGCCTGACCACCCTATCCCCATAGTCGCCTTTTACGGCAAGAATGGGTTGCTGAAGACCTATTCTGCCCCGGATAAAATATTTCACCCTGGATTTTCATGATGACAGCTTGATTATGTCAATAGTCCATACAGTACCTCTGCCACCCTCTTCCACAACCCCAGTCTACTCACACACCCTAACTCACACACCCTAACCCCTCCCCCCCTCCCCAATGATCCCCAACCGTTAAGATTCAACCACTCCATACTAAAGCCAAATCCAGACCAAAGGATGTTCTACAGAATAATTCTGAGGCCTTGCTTCAAGGTTATCCAATACTCTTTGCTACACAGGACATACATTTGCAGTTCATCAAGTGATGTTAATCAGATCTCAAGTGCAGCAACGTCTGCTGCTTCAAGTCGGGTTGCACTCTTGCCTCTACAGCTACAACTGATGATAAACATCTAACCCTGAGGATCCACATTTACTTTGAAGATCTGCTACACAAACGTTGGGTTGCATTTTGTGATGGTGAAACATTTTCAAAAGACCTGGCAGATAGATGTCTACCTCCCTGTCAGTCTGGGTTACCACAGCTCACCGAGAAGACCCTCAGCTCACTGTCAGCTCACCCTGGGCACACCCATAGGACACTCTCAGCTCACCCAGGGCACACCCACAGGACACTCTCAGCTCACCCTGGGCACACCCACAGGACACTCTCAGCTCACCCTGGGCACACCCACATGACGCTCTCAGCTCACCCAGGGCACACCCACAGGACACTCTCAGCTCACCCAGGGCACACCCACAGGACACTCTCAGCTCACCCAGGGCACACCCACAGGACACTCTCAGCTCACCCAGGGCATACCCACAGGACACTCTCAGCTCACCCTGGGCACACCCACAGGACACTCTCAGCTCACCCAGGGCACACCCTCAGGACACTCTCAGCTCACCCTGGGCATACCCACAGGACACTCTCAGCTCACCCAGGGCACACCCACAGGACACTCTCAGCTCACCCTGGGCACACCCTCAGGACACTCTCAGCTCACCCTGGGCACACCCTCAGGACACTCTCAGCTCACCCAGGGCATACCCACAGGACACTCTCAGCTCACCCTGGGCACACCCTCAGGACACTCTCAGCTCACCCAGGGCACACCCACAGGACACTCTCAGCTCACCCTGGGCATACCCACAGGACACTCTCAGCTCACCCAGGGCACACCCACAGGACACTCTCAGCTCACCCTGGGCACACCCACAGGACACTCTCAGCTCACCCTGGGCACACCCACATGACGCTCTCAGCTCACCCAGGGCACACCCACAGGACACTCTCAGCTCACCCAGGGCACACCCACAGGACACTCTCAGCTCACCCAGGGCACACCCACAGGACACTCTCAGCTCACCCAGGGCATACCCACAGGACACTCTCAGCTCACCCTGGGCACACCCACAGGACACTCTCAGCTCACCCAGGGCACACCCTCAGGACACTCTCAGCTCACCCTGGGCATACCCACAGGACACTCTCAGCTCACCCAGGGCACACCCACAGGACACTCTCAGCTCACCCTGGGCACACCCTCAGGACACTCTCAGCTCACCCTGGGCACACCCTCAGGACACTCTCAGCTCACCCAGGGCATACCCACAGGACACTCTCAGCTCACCCTGGGCACACCCTCAGGACACTCTCAGCTCACCCAGGGCACACCCACAGGACACTCTCAGCTCACCCTGGGCATACCCACAGGACACTCTCAGCTCACCCAGGGCATACCCACAGGACACTCTCAGCTCACCCTGGGCACACCCATAGGACACTCTCAGCTCACCCTGGGCATACCCACAGGACACTCTCAGCTCACCCTGGGCATACCCACAGGACACTCTCAGCTCACCCTGGGCATACCCACAGGACACTCTCAGCTCACCCAGGGCACACCCACAGGACACTCTCAGCTCACCCTGGGCACACCCTCAGGACACTCTCAGCTCACCCAGGGCATACCCACAAGACACTCTCATTCACCCAGGGCATACCCACAGGACACTCTCAGCTCACCCAGGGCATACCCACAGGACACTCTCAGCTCACCCAGGGCATACCCACAGTTCACAGGACTCTCAGCTCACCCACAGCTCACTCTCAGCAGCTAAACCAGAGTTCACCCATAGCTCACACTCAGGTTACTGAGAGCTCACCTTCAGGACTCTGCATGGAGTTCCTCATCTATGTTATACCCCTTCATGGTTCATACCAGATTCATCTCCATACATGAGATACGAATCTCTTTTCAAAGTCAGGATTATTCATTCATGGTGACATTTCAACCCTTTAAACATTCAATAAATCAGTAACATACAGATCTAAGACTGCTTATCCTTTTATTGTTGTGACTAAAATGAATTTTTGTTTTACCATCATTTGATTCCTTCCTTTGAGGAACTAAATTAAATCAACATGTAACAAAATAAATTCACTTTTGAGGCCACCCCATCACCTCCCACCCCAATAGCTTTCACAAATTTTAAAATGACAAATCTGATCTTTTAGCTTATTGTAACGTATATTTGAATCTGACACCAGCAGCACCAAAGAACACCTGATTCCTTTGTATTACTAAAATTGATCTGTCATGGCATGATCCCAGACATTTTCAAGATCAGACAATACTTAATAATGTGGGCAAAAAACACAAAGGGAATCAGTTTTACTCCTCTTTCTATTCTTTTCTGGATACAATGTCATTTCTAATTTGACACCATCTGCCATAACTTTTCCGCATCACAATAAGCTATCCACCTATAACTCACACAACACAGTCCTTGAGAGGACGAGTACACCACCATAACAGTTGCACACACATACAAACAATGGCCTATTGTAAGTGACAGAGATAACAGTGCCTCAGCAGTGATAACAACTCTTTGCCCCGAGGCGGCTAACAGTAAGTGTACTCACCAGAAAGCTATGGAAGGATGCTCCTTGAGAGAGCTTGTAGGAATCACTGGAAGTTTCTTTAATTCACTCTTTGTATCTTCATCACTGAAAAAATATATAAAAAAATAAGATTTTCAAATCATAATATGCAACTCTAGAAAACACAAAATTGAGGGTTATTTTTGTAGGTCAACACGGATAACATGAATGAGCAGTTGGTATACCATGTAGAGTAAGGTAAATTAGGTCAGCATGGCCATAAGATTAGATCACACAATTCAAGCACTGTGACAAGGCAATGGATCACATCATCGCAAGATCACAAAAAAAACCTCAATCGTCTACTTACATCCAGTAATCAATAAATGATCTCAAGACACAATAACAGTAAGTCCTCAGAGACACTGAATGGATTCTGAATTCCTGGACACAGATAATCCGGCAGTCCCATCAATCTCAGGTCTACACTGGCCGGTCACAGTGAGGACTCGGCCCTCCTGCCTCTATAATCGCTCACACGTGCTGCTCTGTAGGTCTCGGTCCTAGCAATAACACAAACCCAGCACGCCACAAACCATAACACATTCACATGCACGCATCCGGTTCCTCCTCCACAGCGCTGGGTGGGGACGCTGGATCCACACAACATATACACTCCAAGCGTAGAACCACTGCAGCTGAATCCATCAATCTGTCGATGGTGTCTACATGACGCAACCCTTCGTGAGAAGCTGAGGCCGGAGTTGTTACAGTTGATGCTGTGATATTGTAGGGCTGCTTCACAAGGAGGCTTGTTCACTGAGGTGGGAGAGGTGGCATCTCCCTGATATACAAACACAATCTCCTTCTGTAACCTTCATCACCAAGCACTGCACAACCTCACACACCTAGGTAAAAAGTGAACTATCCCTAACAGCATTTCCCTTGTATTGTTGGGGCTGTATCATTTTCACCAGAGGTGAACAATTTCTGATTTCTTTGATGAACTGCACAGCTGGTTCAGTGAGGAGAACAATAAAACAATTGTGTCCAAGTCACATCTGTCGGTCAGCCCATTAATGTCCGCCCTGTTGACTGGACAGGATGACCAGGGCAGGAGGCCATATCACACAAGCACAGCTTCAAATGGATGATAAAAGCGACAACTACTGGATAAGGGATATCTGTCTAGGACATAATAGTGTATAATGTGCGTGTTTAGACAGGCATTTTCCCAAACTAACAAAGTGTTGCCCTGATAAGCATGTAGTGACAAGTGAGACTGAGGCTGTGTTTACACATTCCACCTCAGCCTCTATCCCTCACTCCATCACTGCCTCGTCACATCAGACATCACAACTATCACAGCATATCACCAGTGAAATTAATCACCTACAAACTTATACTGACCCAGGAGCATCAAATTAATACAGAACTAAATAAAGCTAAAACAAGACCATGAGTTACAGGGAAGAAACTAATCATTCACTGGCAGCAAACTGACCAGAAACACATCCTTAGCGAGCATAAACACCTTGAATAGTTAACCTATCATTAATGGGCCAGAGCCTAAAGGCAAATGTATACAGAAAATTGAGTCTCGTTTTCCCGGGGGAATCAGCTAAAATAGTTTGGCTGAAAATAACTGAGGCTGTGTTTTTCAGAACATGTACAAGATTCTACATGGAAGATTCAAGTCTGGATGTTAATAATTCATGCTTGACAAGAGTCTACCTGTGGAAAAATATACAGACTTTCAATTCCTGCATTTCCAAATTGCACAATGACAAAAAATTCCCTAATATATGTTTCCAAGAGGTGTTTCACTATTGACTCCAAATACTGATGGATGAGCGAGTCAGACATGTGCCAGATATTCCCTGCATGGACCATCCTCTCCATCACCATCATCTGCCAGAAGTCAAACTGCACTAAACTGTTGGAAAAGTCAACTAAGGCAATTGGGATATGAAAATATTACCCAGTCAAATCAAAAGCTGGGGTTTTTTTTAACTGTTTTATATGGCGACGGATTGACTAAGATATGTCGTAACACACTCCTAATTCATGACAGCTGGAGTGGCATCTTGAACACACAGAAAATGCATACAAGAGAGAGCACTGAACTAAATACATCAGTGAAAATTTAAAAATATTTTTCTAAGACTATCAACAATCGCTCCGTGACATTTTGTCTACAAATATGTGTATCTGTAAGCCCCACTGTCTACATCACATGACTCAGCTGAAGTCTGTTGAAGCCAATAGATTTTGTTGCCAAAATTGTCTGCAAGCCATGATCCAACCCTCAACTCAAACATTCAGTGACCACAAGATGCAGAGCTGCAGCGGAAGATGCTGGAGTCGGACACTGAATATCTGAAGGACCATGAAATTACTTTCTGAAACCCTGAATCCTTCAAAGATGGAGATGCAGACAGCTGACATGGGCCCTCTGTTGCTATTCAGCATCGGAAGTACCGACTTAGCATCAATTATTTACATTTGCTGTGTGATACAGAAGCCATGAGTTGATGTTCCTCTATTGATGCTGCCTCAAATACAGTGTAAGACATCCATGAATATCTTCTAACCTGCATGTCCTCCGCAGGATACCACTGAGACACCATCAAGCACCTGCCTCCGGTATGAATAAACAAGTGAATTTCCTTGTGATTTGATTTTGATAAACTTATCTCTTAAAAGGCATAAGATCGTCGATTGTTTCAACTGTAAAATCTGTGGCACAAGAAATAGCCTGAACCAAAATTAACAATAGTCAAGCTATGCATACTGTCTTGTATAAATTAGCAATTTGTGTGAATGTTTTTTTCTAACATGGAACATACTGTAGGTAGCCTAACATTTAGTCTCTGAAATACAATGGTTCAATTGTTTTTCAATAATAAATAGAAAGGAGCCCCTGAGACCAAGAAGAAATCTAGACTTGCCAAACTATTGTAGGCATGCATGAGATTTTCTGGATATTTATTTCTCAGGTCTGTGCGTTCAGGACAAAGAATTAGTCACGTTTGTTATTGGAACTGAAACATGTTTGGGACCAAAACATAATGTTACCTACTATAAATTATAGTATAAGAGACTGACGGGATCGGGTGGTAGGACACAGTGACTTGGTTGATGTATGTCATTGTATCGATGCCAATGATATCAATCACTGGATCGTCTGGTCCAGACTCGATTATTTACAGTTGGTTGGTTGGTTTGTTGTTTAACGCCGCACTAAACAGTATTCCAGCTATATGACGGGAGTCTGTAAATAATCGAGTCTGGACCAGACAATCCAGTGATTAAAATCATGAGCATCGATCCATGCAATTGGGATCAATGACATGCATCAAACGAATCAGCGAACCTGACCACCCGATCCCGTAAGTCGCCTCTTACGACAAGCATAGTCTCCTTTTACGGCAAGCATGGGTTGCTGAAGACCTATTCTACCCCAGATCTTCACGGGTCTGATTATTTACAGAACGCTATCATAAATATACATATATAAATTTTGGCTGAAAAGATATGTTTAACTAGCTGCAGCAGTATTCATCAAACCATAGCATACAGCATCAGAAGTAGCAGCTGAATTCTCTCAGCACTCACCTGAATAAGCAAACGATCCCAAATAATAACTTTCTACACCTCCAAAGGATACCTTCAACATGGGTCAGATTGGTTCCGGCAAATGAGTTTCTTGTGTCTATGGAAATATTATTTTGCTTCATAGACATGCGACTTAAGCCACTAGACTGAAGCCCAAGTCTAGATAATGTCTGTTCGCTCTAGTAAGCTGAGCTTATGACAGTCCATGTAATAACAGCAAAATCTACTCTATGAGCCATGTACGGACTAGTGGGCTTAAAAGATGTTGGCAGACTGGCTTCTGGTGAGAAAAGGTCTTCAGCAACCCATGCCAGCCGTAAAACACGACTATGCTTGTCGAAAGAGGCGACTTACAGGATCAGATGGTCAGGCTCGCTTTGGTTGATGCATGTCATCATATCCCAATTGCATGAATTGATGCTCATGATGTCAATCACTGGATTGTCCAGATCCAAATACTTACAGACTGACGTCATATAGCTGGAATTTTACTGATTGTGGCGTTAAACAAACAAACAAACAAAACAAAAGCAATGAGAACTAATAGCAGCAGCCCTTGCTGATTAAGTTGATGTCAGTGCTCATGTACTGAGAACATGGGAGTGTTGATAACCCTGTGTGAAGACAGAGAGACAAGGACAGATAACACCAACAGCCTGACCAGATGCTACTTGCAACATCATTACATACTGAGAAGCTCCAGCTGGGGTTGTCACATATCCCAATGGTACAGAGCTAGTTGTAGGAGGATAGTTTTACTGGTCCTGACCAGTTCCTCCTTACCCAATCATAATGTACTGAGAATATCCAGCTGGGGTTGTCACATCTCATGATGGAACAGAGCTAGTTGTAGGGAAGAGTTACACTGGTTCATGCCAAGTTGCTCCTTACCCCCATCATAACATAAAAAAGATTCTCCAGCTGGGGGCTTCCACCTCTCCGGATGGTTAAGAGCTAGTTGCAGGAGGATAGTTTCCCTACCACTTGCACTCTGATTCATGTCATAACTTAGGCCATTTATCTTCATGGATTGTTGTGACTGCAGAAAGACTGGGAAACTTGAGTCCTTTCTTCATCAGTGGATGACGAGGGAGTGGAAGTCTAGGATGCTGCAGTTAGCAATCAGGCATGTGATGGCTGCCTTTAGAGAAGGAAACATGCATCAATTTGTCACTCAATTAATTATCAATCAAAATTCCATGTTGTGGTATGTCTGCTAACAAATATCCATAAGTAATTTCTCAGACAGGAATTTATGAGCCACTGTGCGAGTGATGAAGTACATCTCTTTTTGCAGTATTGACCCCACATCTTGATGAGGAGTGTGAGTGAGTTGGGTTTAACGCCGCTTTTTAACATTATTCTAGTTATATCACGGCGTGTCAGATTAATGTGGGAGGAAAGCCTGAAGTGATGCAGGTCTCAGACGTTTACCACTTCGGTGAAACCCACGAGCATGCATGGTGCTGACAAACCTAGAAAGGGGGCGAACTGGGATTTGAACCCACAATCATAGGTTTCTAGCGTGCCCAAGGGACGCAACTCTGCACAGCGAACCATGGTGCCTTGGACGACTGAGCCACCCGTGCCCCCTCTTGAGAGGAACATATTATACCTCACTGCACCATGCTGGCAATGGAACCCCAAACTTCAGCATGACAAATGGACACCTGGACCTCTGGGCTACCTTACCACCTGATGATGAATGACGCTTTACACTATAGTCACCAATATTCCAACTACGTCCCCGAGGCCTAGATATGATCAGTGGTTGATAACATGAGTAACATGCCATGCTGTCTGAATATGCATCCTGATTTAACTATCACCCTAAGTCTTACGACAACCATGGGGTAATAGGGGCCTATTCTGACCTATAAGGCAAGGGAGTTAACTGACTTCTTTTACAGTTAGTTTACTCCTTTGCCTCTGGAAGATGAGAACTAGCAGAATTGTTTCACTTGGGGAACTCTTATCTTATGTCACTCATGGTAGTCTATTGTATTCAATTTAAGACATTTATTTGGGACAGTCATTTTTTAGGATAAAAAAATGACTTGGGACCCCCATTTTTTAACCTGGCCCTCTAGAATTTGAGTCGCCTGGACCCCCCAAATAAATAACCCAGGTAAATCCCTGAACACATTTTCTTGATTATCCTCAGTACGAACACCAAGCATCCAACTGCATGATATAATACAGCCACTAACTTGATTATGTGTGTTTATGTTTGACAGCCTGTTGACAACATTACTGGTGTTGTGTGGTCATTACTGCTACAATGTGGGACATCTCTGAGTGGTGATTGTCACTGATACTGTTGAAGATCTGGCCATCATGGAGGAGGCCTGTCATCACCTCAGCGTGTGTAGCATGGTTTTGACAAAACAATTACTAGAAAATCTGAATGTTTTCCAACATTAAAAGCATGAAAAACATCCTAATTCTAACCAAAACAGTTCAAATAGCATTGCTGGCAAACCCTTTTTGCTTGTTATCCTACACTCCACATTACAGTATCCTAATATGATAATACTATCCATACAACTGCTGCAAACGTTGCACATGCTTCCCCATGCCAGGTTAGCCGGGGAAAGTATTTCTGTATGAGAATGGTTGCTTTGTTGCCCTTGGCATTTGGAGTTCTCTGGCAAGGATTCAAATCGAAACTGTTTCCATCATGTTTTACCTTCAAGATTCATCCGCACCAATCTTGATCAGATTAGCCTAGCAACTTCAACTACATCCGTGTTGTCAAGCTATTTTAATTGGATGTAGTTTTGTTGCATCATCAGTTAAACGTGTCTGACAACGTCATGTATTATGCAAGGTCAGCAATCCTTGACTGCAGCACCAGACACCTTCATCCCTCTGCATCGGTTTCACTCAGGCTGTACATGTTTGCATCAGGGAAGATGTTCAACATCCCAAAAACAAATAAACAGCTTTTAGCTGAGCGATAAAACCTGCAAACATCCACAGTGTTGCAGGTGTAATTTCCCCACACGTCAGTCATGAATTCTCGATTCCATTCCACTCCTATCCAATGGCCCAGATATGAATCCTTTACAAATCATTCAACATCTGTACCACCTTGCAAGACTTTGTGAATCTTGCAGCCATTCACAGTTATTATCCAGACAGGATGTCTTCATTGCACGGTATATAGCAAACCAGCCCATACAGGACACAAGTCTGGTGTAGTGCTGATCTGCTACTTATCCACAAGTAAACACATAAACAACTGCAGCCACAAAATCTCCACGGCATCCATGAGAACGCTCCAATCCATTTGTCAACATATTCCTGTGAAGTGTAAAGGACATAGAGCCTCTTAACAATGTCTCCCAGACTCCTGACTCTGTTCTCAATTGAGTTACAACAGTGAAGACCAGTATTTTATCTGGTGACAGTTTCTCTAGTATTGCTTCACAAAGTTTCACAGCTAGATCTTGTTACATCTGGTGACAGTCACATCACTGGTCCTTCCTTGGGTTTAAACAGGTGAGACAGCAACTTCCTTGGTCCATCATCAGATATAAAACAGTAAAATCCTTATCCTTCATCAGGGGAAACAGTAACTCCCTTGGTCCTTCATCAGGGGAAACAGTAACACGCTTGCTCCTTCATCAGGGGAAACAGTAACACGCTTGGTTCCTTATCAGGGGAAACAGTAACATGCTTGGTTCTTTATCAGGGGAAACAGTAACTCCCTTGGTCCTTCATCAGGGGAAACAGTAACATGCTTGGTTCTTTATCGGGGGAAACAGTAACACGCTTGCTCCTTCATCAGGGGAAACAGTAACATGCTTGGTTCTCTATCAGGGGAAACAGTAACAGGGTGGTTCTTTATCAGGGGAAACAGTAACAGGGTGGTTCTTTATCAGGGGAAACAGTAACACGCTTGCTCCTTCATCAGGGGAAACAGTAACATGCTTGGTTCTCTATCAGGGGAAACAGTAACAGGGTGGTTCTTTATCAGGGGAAACAGTAACACACTTGGTTCTTTATCAGGGAAAACAGTAACAGGCTTGGTTCTTTATCAGGGGAAACAGTAACACACTTGGTTCTTCATCAGAACACAATGTACACATATACTACAAACATGTAAGCACCTAAAATATTACAATGTAAGCACCTGTAATATTTAAATGTAAGCACTTGTAATATTACAATGTAAGCAGAATCAACTCACCTGACAAAGTCCCCATGTGTCGCCTGCAACACATGAGCCGCGAGCTCGAAGATCGTCTCCGAATCAGTTTCTATCTGGCCCTGGAAACAACAACAACAACAGTTTAACAGTATAATTCACACCGGCAAACTCAGACTGGTAAAGAAATCTGATTGAACTGAAACAAAAAATTCTCACCAGGATCCAGTGTCAGATGGTCACTGAACATCTGAGTGGAGAAGTGCCTGACATAAAACTCAGTGATAAACCTATCTGGCAAACTGCTCCATCAACCAGCTGTGAGGCATTCAGCCTTAAACACCTCATTAAAGGCCTTGACAGTTACATTGGTACAGGATAAATTATCCAACACATATATCCCAGATCACTAATTGCCGACTGCCTCGGACAAATGATTCTCTTTACTGATGGAGGTAGCTGGGAGGTTTTGACAGGAAGGTTCCTCCCTGTTCCAGAAATAGCCTAGATAAACACCCCCTCTCCGAGATGGACCAGAACACACTAGCATATACCCATATCAATGAATGCTGCCCAGTGATAGCACGACACATTGGACTTATTACCAGTACACATGATAAGATCTAAGGGAAACCTCTCTTGACAGGAAAGCAATGAATTATCAACTGGATGGTGAAAACAAACATTTAATACCACACTTAAATATTTGAAAGTATCAATTACCTGAACATTCTGATGTGCAAAAAAGTATGTTACATGCAATATTTCAACCCAATACCAGCACTGAGTAAGACCTCATCACCATACCTATCACCATCATCACCACTCCCATCCCCAAAGCTACAAAATTCAAATAAACTAAACTTGCTTAACTTTATCAGATAACTCATTATTCAGACAAAAATATACGTCCACAACATATGATGTAAATGTCAAAGCCATAGAATTATCAGGCTCGATTATCTGCTGTAACAGATTCTATTGGTTGTAAAGGCACAATATGAATGGATCACTGAGAATCAGTGATGACACCAGGTGTTCACGAACAGGGTAAGCATGTTCTATTCTACCAGTAGCACCCGCAACTCACATACAATAAATAACCACACAAACATTTCAATCTTATCAGAACAGACAAGAAAATAGTTCAAATTTCCATCAAAACCTGGCTTTGCTTTGGTTATTTTGACTTGCTGAGTCGGAGATATGCACTGTGGGAAGCACCACCTAATCAGGCTAATCCTTCCTCGTTGCAGCAAGCAGTACTCCTGTTCTCCAGGGTGGTGTCGACGTAACTCCAGCGACTCAAGTATCCCCTCCTAGTGCTGTCTCAGGAGTCAGTTCCCAAGACAGACAATGCTGACAGTGGACGCCTGCACCTCACAATGCCACAAAGTACTGAAACCCTCCAGCAAAGAAAACATTCATGTTCTCAATTCCATAGCGATGCTCTGTAAATATATAAATTTGTCTCTGTCTTCTCCAAATGAATCTAATTTACACACAATCAGACTCCAGAGTAATCCGACATTGGCTTCTCGGTAAATATATAAATCTGTGATCAGAGATTACAGCTGACATCGAGATGATCCCGCAGCTAATGCCATCTATCCAATACAATTAATGGTAACTCTCAAATGCCAATAAAAGTCTGTGCCTGAAGTAAAACAGTAGATCTTAGTCCAACATCAAGCACCAACAAAAGTCTAGATGAACAAGGAAAGTATCCTTTCGAAGTTATATCTTTCAGCATCCTCTGACAAAGTGTTCATTCCCTAACTGATGAGCTTTGAATATCATTGCTGCCAGGCAGGTTTATCACAATCACAGTCAATTAATTGGCAGTCTACCATACTGCCCCAGGCTTCTGGTCATAGGGGCAGAAGACACAGCAGACAGCTCCCTGAAGCGTCTTCTGATCAGCAGTGCTAGGACTGATAAGAACATACAGATCCTGGACTAATTTGATGGAGAGAAATGATAACTTTGAATTCAAAAGTCTGTGTCCTGAAGGTGCTCTACCCCTCTGACACCAATCAAGATTATGGAAAGTCAAGGAAAAAGTAGCTATTAAAATGTAATATATCTGGAGGGGATATGAATTTACTGATACGTTTCCTTCAAACCTTTTAACAGGCCACCTTGAACTGTTTACGACTAAGGGACCAGTTTAACAGCACTACCATGAAACTACAGGTTCTCAAATACCATAAAGATTCATATAACGCCTCAATTACCTTTCATCATCTCATCAACCAAAATAACCAACCTGATAAACCTATCTGACCACCCATGTCCACCAGTATTTGACCACAACCTTGCAGATTCAAGTGAAGCAGTTAATCCCTATCTCCTCATCCTCGTCCCAAGTCCTCATACCTCCCAGCTATGCAGTTTACCATGCTTGACTGAGGTCCATCTTAATGAAGATTCGTTATTTGTGATCATACAGTCTTTCAGAAACCTTCAATGACACTCCAGGATGACCTCTGACCTCTAACCTCTTGACCACACCACCAGAATTAAATATAGATTTAACTCTACTCAAATTCTTAACCCTCATGGAACAAATACATGTACACGTGGTATCTTAATAACAACATCAGGAGGATTCCCTGAAACCAGAAACCATTTGATGTCATGGTCAGTTTAGATAGCAGACAACTAACTGACACTGTCCTACAGAGTTGATTGACAGCTGTAACATGCTGACATGTGGTATTTGTGGCCTGGACACCATTCTACCAGATCTTGATGTCTCTCTCAGCCAAAACTTTTGAGCCCCTGTCCCCATTTTGACCGGCTATGTGTCGTCATGATTCAGGATGTCAGACAACCATCACCATGCTGTAGCTAGTATCTGGCAGTGGCATCAGATGGGCTGGGCTAGTATCTGGTCAAAATGTCCACAAGGGGTCACTGCTTTGAGCAGATGAGTAAATCGTATTTGATGCCACAGTCAGCAACTGTACAGCTACATCATCAGGCCTATCAATGAAACTATTCATTATGTACACACTTTAAAAACAGCCGCACAAATTCCAAACAAGACACCATTCTCAAAAAGTGTGCTTCGTAATGATCAAACCCTCTCCACTCCCCATCACAACAGCCTCCAAGCACACACATTTTCACACATCAAATCACGCTGACCGCAACAAACCGAGTGCGCATGCATCCCGTTTGTTGCAGTCTCGACTGATAATGTGGGTTTTAACTCATGGGGATTGTGTCTTGTTTGGAATTTCTGTGGTTGTTTCCATTTAAAGTGCGTACATATTCCATCGTTTGGTTGTTCGATCCCTGCTGGTTTTCCATTGATAAGCCTGATCAGGATCACTGTAGATAATCCAGTCAGTGGGTGATAACACCAGCAATGATCGAAGCCATCAGGATACAATGACAGACAATCAACCACATGACATCTTGTGACCACCTGATTCTCATCAGTCTACAAGCATTGGAAGGTTGTCATCTGGCAAATATGACCAAGGTAGTCAATTCCTAACCAGTTGCATTCAGTAACACTTGAGTGACTTTGAGCTTCCTGTGCCACAGAGACATAGATCCCACTTTAACATTGTGAAGCAGGCAGAGAGTTAGCTGCTATCTGGTTAGAGGAGTAGATGAGAATGTCGGAGGTTCCACAATTAGCTGCTGCCATACTGGCTGTTATCACTGCCACAGCATGTTGCACCAGGTGGAAGGGAGACATCTCCACACAAATGTCAGCTTCTCAAAAAGTCAAAAACATATATCCATGACCAGGCTTATTTATCCTGTAATTTTATCATGAGCAAAGTTTCAGTAAATGTCAAGAAAAAACAAGGCTTGGTGGTGCTTCATGGTAAAACAATGGGACAATAAGACATCAGAAGTTATCGAAGAAAGAACAGGAACAATAACAAAGAACAGGAACACTAACAGAGAACCATGAAACACAGGAGACCCCATAAATGTCAAAACTAAGCCCTGATCCTCTTTCAAACATCACTGTTTACAGAGAGACTTAAAACAAGAACCCTCCACCCTGAGACACTGGCTGAGGAGTACCTATTGATTACAATTCCTGACCTAACCAGGTACACTGGCAGGGACATATCTGGTGCCTGTCGATGGAGTTGGCATAGAGTGCCAAGACATAATTCATTGAATACTCTGAAAGGTATCACACTGAAGCAAATTATCAAGCACAATGGCAGCCATTATGTACACACAATCACCAGTTCAGGGACTTAAATAACAACCTGCATGGAGAAATGATGACCTTTCTGCCCAAGAGCTCCGTGTGTGTGAATGTTGTTTTACGCCAGGCAATATTTCAGCTATATCATGACCTATAAATAATGAAGTCTTGACAAGGCAAACCAGTGACCGAAAACATAAGCAATGATCCAGGGCATGATGACACACAAATCAACCAAGCCTGACCACCGGATCCTCTTTGGTTGACTTTAATTTATTTTGTTAGGTAATTAACTTGAGATGGAGATTGGTTTGGAAAAATCAAGGTCTATTAAATCTTCCCGAGGCAGGAGAGTTAACTGACTTAAAGAGTCCAGTTTCCACCCTTGCCGAACTAGGCTGGAATTCCTGGGCTCCATTGTAGCGCCACCAGTGGCTATTATGAGTTACGTCCCTTCTATGCCTCTCCTATGGACCAATCAGATTCTACCTCTCGCATTGCTTGCATTTGCTTCAAACAAAATTGCAGCCAAGTCAAGAAGATCTAATAAGATTATCAATATCTATATTGTGATAAAATGGGTCTCACATCGTGAAGTGCATCAAATCACATGAGCACCTTGATTAAAAACAGGAAAAGAATCGGAAAATATCTGTTGACAACGAGTTGACGGTGCACATGCTTTGCAAATCCTGCAATCAACTGAAATCTGCTGCACGTCAGTTTACGAACTGAATTTCAATTTCGGCTCGCGATTTTGATTGGACTATGCATAGACTCGTTAGTCCAGCCAAACTGTAACTCCATAATACCAGCCTAGTTTGGCAAGGGTGGAAACTGGACTTTTGTCAATTAACTCCCTTGCCTCAGGAAGATGGGTCAATTCAAATCTCAAGGCCATTTAATATAGAATCTAGATTCCAGTATTTTAAAGCCTGTGGGAACTCTGCAAAGTCAAATAATAATCAACTCCATCCTTACACCAACTATACACTCTCCTGCCTGACACACCTCACTGAGCCAACATGGCAGATACGTGTACAATCTGGCAGCAATGATGTACGTGTCATGATGACATGCACGATCTTCCCACCCCCCTGCCTCATCCAGCTGAGCTGACACCAGACTCTCTGACAACCATAAAACCTGCACTAACATTTTCATTCCATGACACAAACCACTCACAGGGAAACAGGAAATTACTTCAATTTCAGAAAACAACCTAACTTAAAATAAAGGTAAGTATTTTTTCAAAGAAGTGTACATCAAAGAGAAGCTGACAGAGACAAAGAGTATAAAAATAGCCCCATAAAGGATCATGACAGTGCTTTTGTTCTGTTTTTCAAATACAAGAACCACGAGTCCCACTTTGATGCATTATCAAAAACTCTGTTGAAATACATGTTTAGGGAAGTTCAACTTATATTTGTCAATTTGTCTAAAAACAGATGCGACAAAAAACAGATCTGACCTCATTAATAAATATGATTTTTTTGCTGAGGTTCAGGGAGGTAAGCTGCTGACACTGACATATGATTGGCACCATCAACTGCTACCACCAGCTATGTCTACATGTACAGAGGTTGGGGGCATTCCTTGAGCTGTTCATTTGCCTGGATGAAGACAAGAGCCTGTGAAGGTTCCTCTCAATAAAGACACATTGCTTGAAAGATTCTGACATTGGTTTCAGCATCACTGAAGAAATAAATGCCAATCCTAACAACTGAGAGAGATAGAAATGTAATTCATGTCATATTTCATTTCATCATTTTTTGGTCTAAAAGTGAATGTGTGACTTCAGCTTTTTGTCGGAAGGCCGAGTCCAGTGAAAATCTGTTTGGTCTAGTAAGTTCAGCAATTAAAAGTCCATATAATGACACTAAATATACTGAAAATGATGTTCATTAACTGAGAGCCATGTTTGGGGCCAGAAGAAAACGAAATTTTTGGCACACACTGTAGTACAGTGACTGTGTTTAGGCATGGGGAAAATTTTACAACCAAACCTAGGCAAAGTATCGTAATCTGAGCCAATCTGGGATCCAAACTAATCAATATAAATAACTGATCCTTGTAGCTATAAGGGAGACAACTCTGCAAAGACCGAAAGTATTCATGATCATCAGCCATCATCTCGGCCCAAATTGAGCACAATACAGAGTGGTTGAGTGAGTGAGGTTGTGACTGAGTGAGGTTGTGAGTGAGGTTGTGAGTGAGTGAGTGAGTGAGGTTGTGAGTGAGTAAGTAAATGAGTGATAAATCACACTGCAGTCAGGTATATTCAAGCTGTATCACTGCTGCCAGCAAATAACAGTGTTGAACCAGACACACAAGCGATTGACAGCATGAGCAATGGTCCACAGCCTCAGGGCAGGATGACACTCAATCAGCCATGTCACATACTGTGAGTGAGTGAACATAGCTCAACCCCACTTTGATCAGAATGTCAGTCATATCAGGGCCTGCCAGCTAGACGTGGGAGGGAAGCCAAAGTGATGCAGGTCTTAAACCTTTTGGTGACGCAACTCTGACATCATCATCAGCAGCAGCAGCTCTTGCAGCATGTTTGGGGTACTGCTGACATATTCTGCCCCAGAAAGCGCCCGAGTTAACACTACTAAATACAACAAAATTCGATACCCGTGAAAATCAGGGTAAGAATAGGTCTTCAGCAACCGATGCTTGCTGCAAAAGGCGACTATGCTTGTCCTAAGACACAACTAACGGGATTGAGTAGTCAGGCTCGCTGACTTGATTGATGCATGTCATTGTATTCCAAATGCGTTGATCGATGCTCATGATGTCAATCATTGGATTGTCTGTTCCTGACTCGTTTATTAACAGACCACCATCACATAGCTGGAATATTGCTGAGCTGAACAGCAAACAACACAATGTGACTTGAGAATGGGACCTACCTTGAATACAGCTTGCCTTGCGTTGAGGTAAAATAGTTCCACTGTAGCACTGTCCCTTAGTAACCCTATTGTTTCTATATAGTAGCTGCAACACAACAGAGGCTCAATCAGTCATTGGAAACTATAAAAAAATCATATTTGCAATTAACAAAATGCTTTTTTTATCAAATCCTGCTGAATTCTAGAAGAAAAAACCCAGTTTGAATCAGCATACATACACTTGACAAAAAACTACGCAAGTAGTTTTAAAATTATCTGCCAGACAGTTGGGCAGGTGGAGGAAATTTCAGCCCGATAGAAAAGTTACCAGCCATGGGCAGGCAGGCTGGCAGTTATTTCGGACACTGTCATCAATACTCATCAGTTGATCATCAACTGAGACTAAAATGTTACCTAATTCATTTCCTCCTGCTTATTCAAGCTGAAACCATCACTCATCCTGAAACTCATATCAAATCCTGAAAGCTTTCACTAACATTCTTAGCCTTTTTTCAAACAGTCACACCATTACAAGACCTATTACCCACTAAAAGTGACTTACACAAGTAATCAAATTTGTCACACAATACACCGACCAAACTGAAAAGGGCTTTCAGAAATGGAGCAGGGAGGCATATCCCTCCTTTGAACTAACAAAGCTGATATATTGGTGTTGTGTGGACTAGATTGAACATGGGCCTGGCATATTGACACAAGTGATTGTCACTGAGGTGGCACACTGTGCGTTCCTGTTGTTCACTATGGCCTGGCCAGAACCAGGAAACTATGCAGCCGTTCGGGGAAATGGGAGAAGTTTGTCAGGTGGCCACATTTCTCAACAGTTTATTTTTTAACTCCCTTTTCATTTTCGTTCTTTCCTCACGTATATTAGTCACAGCAAAAAATGTAACACTGAATATTCGAAACTTCAAAAGATGTTGCTGCTTGAGTTTTTGCTTTGTCTCAAAGGACCTCCAGCTGCTTTTTGTTAAGCATTGGCTGATTTTAATTTTGGGAAAGAATATCTTGATAAAACATTTTCTCTTTTTGTTAAAAAAGTGGTTGTAAGAACATTCTGTTATATTTAAAAATCCTTTTATTTACAACAAAGAAAAATGTTGACGCTTTCAAATTAAGTTCATGTTCTGACATAAGTTTCCCCACCTATCCGTGTAAATACAACTTTAGGTGGGTCTACATTAGCTGCGTGAACAATTTGTCACCTAATGTTGGTGAAAATTTATAAGCGTTACCAGATTCGCGACAAACTTCAGTGTCAATCAGAGTAATTTAGTGTCATTTCTAATGTTTACAACAAAATAATTTTCACATTTTAAGATATGAATCCTATTTCAGCACCTACCTTATAGAGAAATGTAGTATAAGTGCTCCAGTCTTCTTGCCAAAGTCGTGATCCAACACCCGTTTATCAAGATTCAACCAGTTGAAGTGATGGCTGGAATAGAAAGAGAAGAGCGTTGACGACTCGCCTTCACCACACCACACGTCCGTTACTCAACAGGTTGTGTCCAGCTAACAAATCCTGCCCTGACCCTTCAGGATCACTGGACAGGAACACTGGCATTACTTATTAACAATAAGACACATGGTGTACACAAGTTAAAACTGCCAGACTGACGAGATGCCATAACACAACTCAAATAGCACCTTCTTCAGGTAATCTCTTTGAGAACAAAGAATATGTCCGAAATGTCTTTTTAATCTGATGTAATCTCGTTCCACACCTACCGACCAGACAAAAAATATGTAAACCAAGAATTATGAAAAACCTGGCGAAAATAGTTTTCATAACCATGTTATATCTAGGTCCATTTCATAACATCCTTGATGGAGTTCCATTGATGGTGTTTCTAAAGTTCTCTTCATGTTGACTAAACATGTGTACTTATTTATAGTTTTTCAGCATTTTCTGAGACTCACTTTCATATATTGTATTTATAATAGTTTTAGTTTTAGTTTTTTATGTTAATTTTCTATGCTGCATTTTACACTGTTTGCAAAGTTCACTGCTGTACAAAACAGAGTTGATGACAACTGAACAAGACTGAAGTGATCCTTATACATATTTGCTGTGTACTTGGACATGTAGTATTTTTGTGTACAAATTATTAACACTATACTACAAAGAAATCTATATGCACATGACAGAGAATTCCCTCTCCTTGAAAGCAGTTCCTGGAATACCTGAGCAGTCATTGCCACCACAGCTATGAAGGCTGGGCTGTCAGTATATATTCCCCTGCAGTACTTCGCCTTCCTAATATATAACACACCAATACCACTTTCTATCTGTCACTCAGCTTGTCACCACTCTCTAGCTGTCACTCAGCTTGTCACCACGATTTCATGTTGATTAGAAGTGGCTGAACATATGAACAGGATCTGTACTATAATAACTCAAATTCCCAAACATGTCTACAATATTTTGGCAAGTCTACGCATTTTTAACTTCAGAAAATGAAGAGACTCATGGGTTCCTGTCTATTATCAAAAGAATAAATCTTAAAACATTTTCATTTCAGACACAAAATGTTTGTCTGCCACAAAGAGTACAGACCTTAGTCAGTGTGTAATGCCCAATCTGACATACTATCTTATAAGAAATGCTAATTTCAGAGGCAAAATGTCAGTCTACCACATAGACACAAGGTTATACACATACGGAACACTAATATTCAAAGCATTTTCAAGGCTTTTCAAGACTGCCAACTGTCATTTTCAGTTTTTTTTATTTTTATTAAATCCAGCATAGTGTATATTAATCATAAAAAGCAGTATGACCATCACACATTTTCCAACAAGATTCATTTTTCAACCCAAAATTAAACAATTAAGTCTATTATGAATTCTTCAGGGTCTTTGGCACACAAATCTATCACTGTCACAAATCTCACTTAAACACCTGTACATATTTTTGTGTGCTTAATACTTTGATTAACAAGTATATGTCATTATGTACAAATTCAAGGGATTTCAAACTATTTTGGTGATTTTCAAGACTTTTCAAGGTTGACACTAAAATTCAAGGCTTTTCAAGAGGGACCTCAGTCATTCAGACACAGTATCATAGAACAAATGCCAAGCCTGTGTCCCTTGAAGAAGAGCAGTGTGAGTGCTGTAGAGATAAAGTCTTGTGATGCAAATGCGTCTGGATGGACAAGAATCGCTTTTTCTCCCACAGCAAGATGTAAGTATGCCCAGAAATATCGCAGAGAATAATCAATATGCTACATCTTGGCTTTTTCTATTCCTACCACCGTAGTCCTAACATAGTCCAATTAGTGCCATGTCCCGATATTCATATGAATAACTGCGGGTCTCATCAGCACAGGATGTAGATGGCACTCCACATATAGAATACAGATGGTATTACTTGAGACAGCCCTGCTCCCCAATAAATCTGGCTGCTTGGTCAACCGACTTGAAGCATCCTCCATACTTGAGGCAAGGATTTCAGAGGCAGTTTCTTCTAATTGGTTTGGAGTTTTTGGTAATATGGGAAGATGTTGGTAATTATAGCTAGTTAGTTTGAGAAATAATTACATGTATCAAAAGCATTTACTATGAAATCAGGAAAATATGTTAGGCAATTAGCAGGGGTGCAACTGTTTTCATCAGTGAGTGCAGACTGGTGGATCCTAGATTCCTACACTGACAGGTGAAACCACAGCAGCTTGGATCCTAGATTCTTACACTGACAGGTGAAACCACAGCAGCTTGGATCCTAGATTCTTACACTGACAGGTGAAACCACAGCAGCTTGGATCCTAGATTCTTACACTGACAGGTGAAACCACAGCAGCTTGGATTCTAGATTCTTACACTGACAGGTGAAACCACAGCAGCTTGGATCCTAGATTCCTACACTGACAGGTGAAACCACAGCAGCTTGGATCCTAGATTCCTACACTGACAGGTGAAACAACAGCAGCTTGGATCCTAGATTCCTACACTGACAGGTAAAACCACATCAGCTTGGATCCTAGATTCCTACACTGACAGGTGAAACCACAGCAGCTTGGATCCTAGATTTAGGCACCAGTTGACTGGTGAAACCACAGCAGCTTGGATCCTAGATTCATACACTGACAGGTGAAACCACAGCAGCTTGGATCCTAGATTTAGGCACCAGTTGACTGGTGAAACCACAGCAGCTTGGATCCTATACATATATCCTATATCATCTATCATACACATATTGGTACACACATATCTAGAATCATGTCATACCCACATTGAAGCATAAATTCCACATCCTACTATCACCAGCTTCCACTGCCATCAGAACTGTACAGCCAGAACCAGATAAGCCAAGACAAGCCAAGATGAGCCGAGATGAGCTGAGCTGAAGAGAAGCAGCCCCAACAGGTCGAAGGAAGGAATGCTACCTGAACCGATGGACCGATGGGCCGTCATATGGACTAAACATGTAGGTCAAGCTCCGAGGAATCAACACAGACTTGCTGGACCTTCTAGGCTGTGGTGAGCCTGGTGATGGCATATCAAACACAGCGGCTGGTACAAAGATTTCCCCCCTTGTGTTTTACTGTCTGATATACAACACAGACAAGTGTGGAGAGGAACCACTTAGTGGCGGGCTCATGGCACCCATCCAGACACAAGTTCTGCACCAATACCATTGTTCTGACTTTGTCTTCACTGTCTTATTCCTCAACAATGTTAGACATAAAGGAAGGTTCTAGGATCAATAAGGTTCCTTCCAATCGTTGTGAATTAAGGAAACCTAAGGATATTACTTTTAACATCAGCCCATTGACTTATACTTCGAACACTACTATATGGAAGGGATTGGGTACGAGCTATCACAACATAGTGTACTCACTTTGACTCCAAAGATAAATACCATGAGAAATGTGTCATGAAATATAAGATGTTTCTATCACTATAAATCGTAAATGTTTGTCTTGTTCCAAAGCTGACCATACATTATCATTTGTAAGATGCACATAACCGTCAACAATCTGATTCTAACCACACAAGCTCATCACACATGGGGAGCACTTTTCACTGGTATCTCTACAGGACTGCTGCAAGTCTGTGGTGACCTGAACTGGTGTCATGTTTAAGCAAGAAGGGGGATTTACTTCACACTGTCCTGACACAAGCCAGTATTTGCCAGCACTGACCAGGTCTGTTGTTCCACTGATCAAGGTGTGTGAGGTTACCGGGAGACCAGCACACTCAGACATGTCGTTTGTTGGTTCCTACAATAAAGATGCCGGCCACCATGATGTGTTGGGCCTGTGTTTTCAAGTTCAGTTTCCCTCCCTGTGTTGACTCACAATGTACTTTTGTTGTAAACATTTGGACACCAAGTGACTTCAGAGCAAGTGACAAGGTCCCCCATGGCGAACCGAGTGGGGATCCAGTGGTTAGCAGAAACATGGTACAACTGGATGGTCCGAGAAGGTCACTATCACTAGTCTGCATGTCTTAGGAGGGTTTCCTGAACATCAGCCAAGTGGGTGGGTGGGTGGGTGGGTGGGTGGGTGGGTGAGGTGAGGTGAGGTGAGGCGAGGCGAGGCGAGGCGAGGTGAGGCGAGTGAGTGAGTGAGTGAGTGAGTTCCGGGGTGAGTGAGTGAGTGAGTGAGTGTCGGAATCAAAATCCTTTACAACTGAATGTAACAAAAATCTTTTGACTGAGTGTGTGTTTTATGTACCATGAGAAACAACCCACACCATCAGGGAACACAGACACACGGAGCTACACCACACACACAAACTATATTGAATCTGTTCTTGCAACTAGCACTGAGGGAAAACAATCCATATGCTACCATCCTGTCAAATACACCACCGTTGTGCCAGGGCCCTTTTCCTTTGTTTGGACCAACATTCAGTGAGCCACTCTACCAAATACAGCAGTACTGCCATACCAACTCAGATTTCCTTTCACCAACATTTAAAGAGACAGTAAAGTCTAAATTTAACTCACTCTTCAAGGAATCTCTTCCAGATGCCAATGCAACTTATAAAAGGCACAGGAAACAAACTTACAGGATAGTTAAAAATGAAATAAAATTCGAACCCTATCTCAGTCACTGTCAAATAAGAAAATATTTACACTTTTCTTTACCTAAGATTAAGTAACCATAAATTAAATATCATTATCTACATGTTCAACCATTGATGATGAAAAACACTACCTACTTCACCATACCAAACACATTCAAGAAACAAATATACTCTTTGGAAAATTATCCACACAAAATGTAAATGTCCACAATCATGAAAACAAATTATTTCACTACACCCTGTCACATAATGAAACCATCAACATCAATTGCTTTTGTTTTCACATCCATCATTTCAAGCAAAAACACCTGTTGATCTTAATCAACTGATCACATTTTATGCATATATAATCAAATCTGTAATATTGATATTTTTAAATGTTTTTGTGTGTATGTATGT